CTCTCTGTGACAAGCTGATGAATGGTCTCCTTCTGAGAATTCCCGGCACAGCAAGTTCTCACTCCGCTGCTTGAGGGATGTAGGTGCCATTAAGTTTTAGTTTACTGTCATGCGATTCTCCATATTGCAGAAGTTGGCACCGCAATTGTTGGTACCTGTAGTTCTTGAGACCTTTGTTGGAATGACTACTTATCAGCGGGAAATAATCGCTGAAATGCAAAACGTTTTTCCCTTACTGAGGGTTCCTGTAGGTCTTTGGAGGTAGGTAGCTCAATCGAATACGGCCAGTTTTTCTCAGCTATATATGCCATGGCACGTTGGGCAGTCAGTGGGGCTATAACCCCTGCGACTTTCTAAAATGTAAAAATTTTTTGACTGGTGGTCGTTTGAAGTCGAAACAAAAGGAGCACACCTGCTAGTGCCCCGTGAATTACATAGTTACGCGCTGGACCGTACCTCCGACTACGGTATATTGACACTATGACTATTCTTATAATTATATCCAACCCATTGTTGAACAAGGTCAAGCGGAACGTTTGCCACTCACTTCGAGGTCAGTCGAGAGTAACTGAAGGTTGAGTGAGTTGATGGAAGTGAAGGAAAGGAGAAATTCCAAGGTCCATTGAGTTAGTTGTATTCTCTGGGATTTGAAGTCAGCATATCTTTGCTCTCTTCTTCCATTTATCCTCTATTTTATTTTTTTCGAGTTTTTTGTGTTTTGTTTTCCTGTTTTGTTCTAAACCCAACCCATTTAAAGCCTCATGACACCTGAACGGAGACCATCTTCCGTCTGTCGTTCATCTGCAAATTTTGGGTGCGGACTCGAGGGGTTCCACACTCCATCCTTCGCCCTTCTTCTTGTGGTCCCCAAGCCTTTAGCTCCTCCCTCTTATTCTTGATGTCCTTTACGGCGATACCTCTAAACTGAGACCGTGTCCACGCATTCAACCTTTCCCACTTTCTATTCCTCATTGCTCTCCTTGAAATTTTCCCCTGCTTTTTGAACTTTTTAATGTTCACATTGAATTTTTATCGTCATTTTCTCCGCTCCATCGAAATTCAATAGCACTTTCCCATCTCCAACATTTTCTACCCTTATGTGATACTCAAAGTATCCGCTTTCTAGTCGTTCGGGTTGAGGAAAGCTCGGGTTTTCACCGCTTGAGAAGGCAAAATTTCTTGGTCATTTCTTTGATTCCTATTTAGCGTGTATTTTTCTGCCTTTACACAGCATTTCCTCCCCCTTTCCGAACATCTAAGACGGAATACAATCTTTTACCTCACAAGATTGGCGATTTATGGACAAAACTTCAGTCTAGGACGGGACTCGAAGGAACAAGTACGAGTTGGAGTCCGAGACCGAAGTTTTTCCATAAATTGCCAACCTTGTGAGACTTTCGCTACGCGTACTGCGGCGTCAAAAAAGCAGCTAACAAAACATCAAGTCAAAACAATCTTTTTTATTTTTTATTTAATTATTTATCTACTAATTGTTTGCTGTCTTCTTGTCAATGCTCCATTTTCTTCTTTCAAGTGAATTGAACGAGACATTCCTAGCCCTTATCTGGATTCCTCTTGGAGAACATCACTGAAGCGTTCTTCTAAGCGTTATCTATAGTTTTGCATATTTATTTTAGTTTTATCTTTTAATTAGATGCTTCTACTTTGTTCTCTGCTCTGTAATCCTTATGGAGGTGCGAACAAATGAGTGTGTCAATAGAATCTTCATAAAGTACATAGTGACAGTAATTATTGGAAAAAAACTTTTCTATGTCAATTATAGGATCGTTGATAACAGTCCACTCGTCAGCGTTTTCGTGGAGACCATCGATGGCTGCTGAGGAACGGTTGCGTGGTGGTAAGAAAGACATTTTCGATGATGTTTTTGAACGATTCCCAAAGGTCAAACAGCTTCGCGTGAATGGTTTTGGCCTGTTTCCCATGGGATTTTGTAAACGGTGAGAGCCTCCCTAGTCTCTCCTTGACCAGATTAAATCATTGACCGCAGCTGAAGTTACTCCTATTCTGCTCTTTTTGCCAGATTTCCAAGGTCACCCAGGGAATCTCACTGTCCAAGTAGAATTGAATGGCATGTGTAGGTGAGCTGGTACTCAAAACAATGACTTGAGTGATAACTTATTTTTTAGGATATGGGAGTTTTTGAAGAAGAGTCTCATCGAAATTCTCTATTGCTTATAGATTATTCTATTTGATCCTGTTGATTTTTTTTTCGAGTTTCTACTCATTAGGATCGATTCCGCCGTTTCCTCCCCAAGGTTTAGGTCGATGGAAGGCGGGTTTGATTTATATCGCCCAGTATCATTCAGGTACAGACATCCCATGCCACCCTATAATTGCCGTCAGTTGAAATCGAAATTTTCTGATCTTCTGGTCTTTATCATTAGACCTAGACCTCATTGTAAATACTGGAGTCATTTGTCGTCTTATCACTGTTTGTCTGTGATTATCACTGGTCCTGTTGGTAGGTCTATCACTGAAAGCAGTTTTTTTTATGTTTTGCCCTCGCCCTGGTGAAAATTCTATAGGAAGAATAATTTATGCCCAAAGACCTACAAGGTGGGTAAGTCAGTCCTAGGGCGTTACTACTAGGTGATAAATCAACGGGTTGTTTCCGTCGGTTTGCTGTATGCCACGAAAGCGCCCGCGACACTTTTTTGCTGTACTTTACTCTGTCTTATGGACAGGTGAGAAGAGAAAAAGAACTAGGATCGATTGCCTATCTGCCCAGTGTTATGATCGAATCTCTTTCATTTGTTGTTATGTGGTTTTATCGTCGTCTCATTTCGGAGCATACGTCTGAAGCTGGCGATTTGGTAAAAAGCCCAACGACAACTCCAATACTGGATGATGCGCTACTGAAACCGTCATCATTTTCATTTAGCGGTAAGAATGGTTCGATTGCTTACTTCTTCTCCAATTTTTTGGCCTAAATAGAATACATTTGAGCGTTGCAGTTCGCGATGCGTGTGTAGCCGCAGGACAGGTAGATGCNTCTGAAGCTGGCGATTTGGTAAAAAGCCCAACGACAACTCCAATACTGGATGATGCGCTACTGAAACCGTCATCATTTTCATTTAGCGGTAAGAATGGTTTGATTGCTTACTTTTTCTCCCATTTTTTGGCCTAAATAGAATACTTTTGAGCGTTGCAGTTCGCGATGCGTGTGTAGCCGCAGGACAGGTAGATGCCAAAGTGTTTCGTGATGCTGAACAACCGGCTACGATAATGTCACATCTGGATCAGTTCCGTCGTAATGAGAACATGTGCGATGTAGTTCTTGAGGTGAGAAATCGATTGATTTCAATGCAGTCGCAGAAAAAAAAACAACTGGGAACCCATTTTCATGATTGGTGTGAAACTACGGACGGTTGAACTAATGGAGTGCAGAACAGCTGTGATTTGAGGGGCCTCTGAGATCACCTTTAACACTGGGCAAAAAATCCTTCGATTCCTTTGGAAGGGCTAGGAAGGGGTCCTCAACGGGGGAAGCGATAGCGCTAGCATTGCTAGGTTGTATATAGATTGTATGTTAAGTTAATTACCCAATAGATTTCCTCAAGTAATCTACGATGTAACTGGGCGCATGGCGTATCCCAAAGTATTGATCGTAGCTTTGCACGCTTCCTTTCAATTTGACCTTATCAGGACGGGAGTTTAGTCATTTTTATATGGCTCTAACTTGTTTTGTTTTTCCAAACCTGGACTTTGGCGCTTTGTTGTAAACAATAGCAACAATTCCGCCATGAACTTGAAGTTCTATTTAAGTTAAGTGAAGTGTGCATTNGTCGTTGCGATGACGTCATCTTCGGAGACAACTTTCTATCCGTTTACCTAAGTGAATTCACTTATTCTCATAGGTTGACGGACAATCTTTGTCGGCTCATCGCTTTGTGCTCGCCGCAGCAATACCGTACTTTCGTGCAATGTTCGGTTACGATGTTGTCGAAGCCAAAATGGATCGAATCCTTTTGAATGTAAGTCTTTTGCAAGCATTACAGGTCTGACATCATTCACGGAAGCCAAACATAGATAAATGAGAATGGCTTCTTTAGCATATTTCTTTTTCCATCGGCTAAATGAACTAATTATGCAACGAACAGCTGCCGCAGGTTACGGTAGCTATAATGGTTCCTTCAAAAGAATCTCAAGATGCTATCGTCTCCTTTTTCCAGGCTTGAACGATTCCCATAAACGAGGTGGCAGGTTTTTTGAGGGGTCTGATCGACATGATTCCATGCCTATTAGACCTTTCCCTTCAAATCCATGCATAATAATGACATGAGCCATTAACGAAGGCGATTAGTGGCTATTTTTTGGCGAACAGGGCTTTCGGTAGATTGTAAAGCTGTATCGGCGGTCTGTGGGTGGTCGGCCTTAAAGGGTAATACTGCCTGCCTTCCTTCGATTTTTTTGTATATGATTTATTAGGGTTTGGTATGGGCTATAGGTATTTATTTTCAGAAAATAGTTGATTTCTCTTTCTCCCGGTGTAGCTGTGTGACTGCTGAATCCTTTGTAGTGTTAACTTTACCACTGCTACAAATTTCAGAGCGGTTTCTGTTCAGCATATTCACTTTTTGCTTCGCGAAAGTCGTTAAGAACAGTTTCCTTTGGCCTTCTGTGAATGCTCCTTGGATGCGCCACGTATTCCGTTTCTAACTTGGATTCGTGAAGGCTTCCGCCTTCCTGACCCAACCGACAGAAATAGATGCCTTGGGAAACTATTTTTTGTTTGAATTTTCGTTTCTCCTTTCAACTTTTCTGACTCCCTTATTTGTTGAAAAAGGGGGGTAGAAGCGTTGGGATTCACCGAAAGACTCGCCCCGGGTTGCTCACCCTAACCGTTTGCCAAGATCTTAGCCTCAGGAGTTCTTGTGGATGGAGCACCCACTGTTTTTAGCATTGAGGACCAAAATTTCAACGATTCTTGATTGGAATACTTTTAAATTTAATTAACTATTAAATGAGTTAATAGCTGACTGCATTTCGTTTTTCAGGACATTTCATTCGAGGCTCTAAATGCATTGGTGAATTTCGTTTATACTAGCGAAATCTCCATTAATAGCGACAACGTACAAAGTTTGCTGTTTGCAGCGTCCATATTGCAGGTTGGAAGAGACGCTCTCATTACAATCTGCCTGAAAAAAGGTTTGAAAGTGGGTGTTTTCCAGATGGATTCCGTCTGTTATGCATGTCAACGATTCATGACTCAGTTACTAACAACGAAAAATTGCCTTTTAATCCGGCAATTTGCCGAACAACACAACTGCGTCGATTTGTTGAACAGTTCTGATGACTTCGCAGTAGATCACTTCATTGTGAGTTCCAATTTCATTAATTTTTTTAGAAATTTTCTTAAATATTTCCTGTCCCGTCGATGAGTTGCTCGAAAAGCTGGCAATTTCTTTTACCCAACCTATGCGTAGGGTTATGAAGTTTTCTGTCTCTCTATCTTGCTCCGAGAACGGATATGACAGCACTCCCTTTGTTTTGGTCTGCAAAACCTAATATAAAAAACTGCGAGGAACAGACGCGAGCGGCCGTGACGCAGTTCGCACTTTCGAGAAGAGGAGCGTCGCTTTGAAAACTTTTTCAACGATTTGCATAGTCCTATTGAGATCATACGCATTGGCCAAGATTTGAACTCTGGGCAGATAGTCCATTAGTATTTTAATCAGAGCTTTTTTAGGAGCTGCGAGAACTCGACGAATTCAAGCAGATCGCATTTCCACATTTACGAGATTTGATAAGGAGGAGCGATTTGAAAATCACCAGTGAAGAACAGGTTGGTCAAACCTTCACTAATTTTTTTTATTTACGGTAATCCAATGTTATTCTAATCAGGTCTCTCTAACCGCCCTAAAATGAGAAAGGCAAGAGAAACCTGTCGTTTGAATTGTAAACTCCATGGATCAATTGAATCGACCAAATGATTAAGTTGTAAAGCGTTTCACTCTCTCTGGCGGCAGCGCAGCGTTTTTATGTTCGTGAGATAAGAACCATATGGTGATCCTCCATTACTACAATTAAGTGGGTAACCATATATGTGCCCTCACTGAAATGTTGTCTCAAATAACTCGGGAGAAAGATGGNAGTATTTATGAGCCCTGGTATTGATGATTCTACCATCTACATTGATGAAAGGTTCTCTTAGGGTCTGGAAAAGTAAGCAAGATTGGGAATATTGAGAGCGGTTCTTCGGAAGAGTTTCTCATTTGTACACAAAATCTCCTTTTAATCAGTTCTTAATTGCGAGTTTCGTTCATGGTACTTAGAGGTTTTAAGTGGTTTTTCTCTTTTTGCATTTATTTTTATTCATATTGGCTATTTATTTCTATTTTAAAGATTCTCAAGCTCTAACGAGATCAGAAACTTTAATTTTGTTCTGAGTTTCCGCCCAGTACCACTCGACGTTGGACCTCGTTTCTGTTTTTTATTTGCCTTGTTTCTTTAATTTATTTACAAAATTTACATGATTAGACGGTAGTTTTTCCCATAATTTAGGTTTTCGAGACAGTAATTGAATGGGTCGAAGCAAATCCATGTGATCGTAAGCATTACCTGCCCGAATTGTTGTCTTTGGTCCGCCTACCCCAGCTGAATATGCAGTATTTGGTGGAAAACGTACGGCAAAATAAACTGATCAAGGTGAGAATTTAATTTTTGAAGTACTCGATTTCGCTGTTGTTTGAGTCGCATTATGTGGAATAGATGCGCGCGGTCGTGACGCGGTTGCCTGTAGTAATAAGAAGAAGGCCGAGTGGTTAATCACACGACACTATCATTGTATAAAAAACGGAAGAGACACAGACGAGGTCGATTTGGATTCATACAACATAGTATGCAGTTCAGTTGATCTACCCTAGCTGCCGCTTCGCAGCAGCACGCGGCATAACAGCCACGCCCATCATATGTTCTCGCTACGATATCTACATGATTAACTCTCTTTTCACTTTCAAGGATTCACGGGAATGTACGGATCTCGTATCTGAAGCACTATTCATCATGTTATCACCCCTGAAAGGTACACCTGTTCCTATCGGCGCCGCGATAAATGACGAATGTGGAGGGCAGTATGCAGCCGGGTCAACACTGGTTGGTTCAATGTTTTTGTTTACATTTTTCTGTGTTTTCACTGCGAATTAGTTATGAGCAGGACTTTCACTTCGACATTTTCAAGTGATTACAATTTCAGTCAATACCACGACCTTTATCGCCATCGTCTCAAGCTTTACGTAGTAGGCCAAGGAAGAGTGTAGCTGGAGTGATTTTCTGTGCTGGTGGTCGAGGTGAGTCAGAAAAAAATTCATAAGTGGCTACTTATTCCAGTAGCGCTGGCAAAATTGAGATTTCGAAGACAACCTCACTGTTGTATGAGTTTCACCAACCTTGTTTCGATAAGCAACTGGGTTACAGAGTGCCCATAACGTTGCCCATTTCCCAAATTTGCCTCATCTCCCACCTCCACCTCCTACCTCCATTATGCAACCCTATAGCGGCTGCTGAACTAGCTGTAAGATTCACTGCCTTCCTTAGTTTTAGGCAGCCTTCAGCACCCGGTAGATTCAGTCAACTCTAAACAACTATGAAGTTTCAATAGCCTAATATGCTATTAAGGCACCGGTGGTGATCCATTCCGATCAGTGGAGGCGTTCGATTGTCGGTTGAATCGTTGGATTTCCATATGCGAAATGACCCAGCAACGGCGACATGTGGGCGTGGTCAGTGCTCTCGGGAAACTGTGAGTTTAGCTGAATTTTCAGAATTATTATGGTTTTTTCTCATTGCAAAAAGTAGCACTCAATAGTTCACTGGAAGCATTTTGGGATGCAGGAAATGTTGCCCCTTTAGGTTCGCAATTGGCGGACATGATGGCATGCAGCATTTGGCATCGGCTGAAATGTTCGATCCAAGAGAAGGGGTCGGATGGCGCCGAATGGCACCTATGCGCACCTGCCGTCGAGGAATCGCTGCAGCAGCTCTTGATGGGGCTATCTATGCTGTGGGTGGATTGGATGACACCACATGCTTCAGTGTGAGTGGTTCTTGAGTACTGTAAGATGGTATTAGAAGATCTGCCTGTTCATGTAGGTGTGGGCTTGTACAAAAAATGATTTACAAAATTTCATTCGATGGATTCATCAAGGGGCTCAGCTTATCTATAGATGTTATTAGTTTTAACGAATTTCGGTGACCAAGGGGGGGGGGGGGGGGNGAACCTATGTTACAACCCAATAGTTTTAACGAATTTCGGTGACCAAGGGGAGGGGGGTATTAATACTTAGTGTCCGTGAAATACTTTTGCTCATAGACAACTTTCACTGAGTAGGAGGAAGGGAGGAAGGGCTGGCTGATAACAATTGCCCGGGGTACACTCCTCATTAAGTGGCTTAGTATTCCTTCGTGGAGATAATCCGATGGTAATTTCAGACGGTGGAGCGATATGACATCGAATCAAACACTTGGTCCGACGTAGCTCCGATGAACATACGGCGAGGTGGAGTCGGTGTGAGTGCCCTCGGTGAGTTTACAGTACTTACACGACGTCACGTCCCAATATGTACTGTAACGTGGATATCGATTTTACGCGCGCGCATGTCGAAATGAACTATCCTTCACCAGAGTTTTTCCAGAGTGTTTTAAGAACAGCATTGAACTTTAATCTTTCACAGGTAAATTCTTATTCGCTGTTGGAGGCAATGATGGCTCATCGTCCCTGGATTCCTGTGAACGTTATGATCCTGTGCTTGACAAATGGAAATTGGTTGCCAAAATGACAAATCGAAGGTCCGTTCACTGCAAAAATACTAATTTGGAGTGATGACTGATTTTTTTACCGTAATTATTCCGCATTTGGTAATTGTTTTTTCTAATCTTTCCATGTTGCTTCATTCTAGAGCTGGAGCGGGTGTATGCGTATTGGATGGCGCTCTCTATGCGCTAGGCGGTTTTGACGACAATTCCCCTCTGTGTACCTGCGAACGCTACGATCCCCATACGGATCAATGGACGCAACTAGCCAACATGACTTTCTCTAGAGGTTCGTATATAAGTTCTCGCAGTACCTGAGGAGGTTAGACATCCAACTGATCTCTGATTCAACGATTTCAGGTGGCGTTGGAGTCGCTTCAATGGGTGGACTCGTCTATGCAATTGGTGGACATGATGGGCAGCGTTATCTGAATACTGTTGAGGCGTACGATCCAGTAACGAATGCCTGGACCCCAGTTACAGACATCAAAGATTGCCGGGCAGGTGCCGGTGTGGCATGGGCAGATTGCAGGTGAGGTGTTCAATAGAGCCTAAGGTTTCATTATCTACTTTTCCCATTTAAGCTCTTACTTGGCATTCTATTAGGGCGTACTGTTTTTTTCCCTTTCGAAATCTGCGACATCTGTACCCATGACATCTTGAACAAAAAATGGGCCCATCCTCCTTTCTTCCTGATATGTTCGGACTTGGTCGGAGGTGACGCAGTGACCAACGGCACACTATCACAGGCTGCATTCATAGTCCACGATTTGGCCCGCGACCGATCGCGCGACTGGTCGCTGCGGGTCAAATCGTGGACTATGAAAGCAGCTACAGACGCAAATTCCGGGGATCGGATATATACTCTATACTCGCCCAAGCCGTCAAACCTTCATCTCATCGGGGACGAATGATCGGTAGCAGATTCGTTCGGGAGGGTAAACGCTTTGACTCGTACAACGGCGAAGACCACGAGATTGTAGGCTACAAAAGCATTCAAAGCGCCACTACGATTGCGAGTGGGGGTAGATTGCGGGGCGCTTCCCGGAGACGGTATTAATCGACGCCATGAGTGTCTTCTTTCAGTATCGACGACCTGTTGCGGCCATTTCAACCAGACAGTGGTTATGCGCCATCTGGAGGTAACCATTGTATATAATCGGCGACACCATCCATTATCGCCATGAAGTTTAAGACTTATTTTAAGTAATTTTGTGAAGTGATGATTTTTTTTTTGAATATCCAATGCAGTCCGTTTGACTTTTTCGGTACTAGGATCCTTATAATATTTCTGTACATTGTGTCCTTTCATTTGTACATTTACATGCTAGTCTTTCTCGCAGTTTTTTTTTCTCTTTGTGTTCAATCGATTATTGATCGATATCAGTGTTATGATGATGCTTTTGCTGGCTGTACCCTGCGCTATACTGTACTATTTGTTACTAAGGTAGTTGCTACCATACTAGGCGAATTCTTGCCGCTATTACTTGAATTTATTACAATTACCTAGCATTTAGGTTGTGTTTGTCGTGATCTAATACGGTGTGAAACTATTCTTCATTTTCCGTAGGCTGTATAGTTTCACTTTTAATCTCTTTCTCTTTCATTACGTTGTTCTCGATTCGGTGCATTTTTACGTCTTGTATGTAGCACGCATAAGTGCACACATCCACACGCACAAACAAGGTGTTGTTCGCATTTTTGTGTACTTGAAAAAAAGATGGACTTGTAAATAATCAGCTTTATCAGTGCTGTCAATCTCAGAAAGTACCTGTGTACTGGTTGAAATTGTCTCGGAGAAGGGATAGTTGAGTCCTCTCGTTCAGAAGGGATGAAGCTGCAGATGCTGCTTATCAGAAGGCTTCCTGGCATGTGCCAATGGAAGGACTGTACTGTGACTGTCCTTGTGAGTTACTGTTTCTTTTTGCATGATCATATAGTTTCAAGGGTGACGCCGAACCTCACCATGACCGTACTGACCCCATTACCTGCCTCATACCTTTCGAATAAAAGTAATGGGCAGTGGGGACCTTACTTGTAGATGGGCCTCGTCACTTATCACTCAATTTCATTGGTGGGATTCGTTGCCCATTACTTTATTAGCATTCGCATCAGATCTGAAGATCCTACGAGGAATTACGCCAACAAATGACCAGCTGGGGATGGTGTTCTTTCGAAAATTCTGTAAAACAGTGAATAAATGACGTCGCAGGACTGCCCGATGTTCGGTTCCTTGGTATGAGGACTAGTTCCGACGTCCTATGTTGTCGGAGTTCAACTTTCCCATACTATGCATTATGTAGTTTTAAGCGAATAGTTTGGACCTTGTTTAGGCTTGGGGATATTTAGCCGAGATACTGATCTAGCCCCTCATTCTTCTCCAAGCACGCTGGTCCCCTGTTCGTACTGCTCGCGCGAAGTTCAACTTTCTCAAGCTTACTTTAAGTCAGGAAATGTAGCGGAAGTAATGAGGAAGTAATGAAATTGTACATCCCTGGGAAATTTCACGATGTTCTCTGGGGCTTCCACTACTGGTTATGCTTTCTCCTACTCAGCTCCAGACCTATAGCGCTCATCAAAGTGATTTCTCGATCAAGTTACAGTCAGGTAGGAAGGGCAGCATGACCTTTTTGTAAGTTGGCAAGTTCCTAGTCGCGTGTCCGGTCTTAAGCGAATGTAATTCATGTTCCTTTCTGAGTGTGACACGAACTTCGAACTTTATTAAAAACTAAATGAACAACTAAACAATGCAAAAATAATTAAAAAATCAACGAGTAACACTCGGTTTTATCATGTTAGACGATATGATTTTCTTTTTCTATCTAGACCGATCTTACTGGAGCTTTGATTACCGCATTCGGTGTTTCCGAAGAAGGGCGTCTCTTATCCGCCTGCAATTTTCTACTTAATTACTAAAATTAGATTCCAAATTCTATTCAAAACAGAAGAGCTTGCGCAGGGAGATATTCAAAAATACGTATTGACTTGGGGGGTTATGAAGGATAGAATTGTAAACTATTTAGTTTCTTGTTGTGGTTGCTTCATATGTTTCTTACTGGCACCCATAAGTACATAGGTAAACGAGAGTATCCCTGGTTGGGGAACAGTTGCTTGTTATATGAAACGACGAAGGTTAGAGGGTAGAAATGGTTGTCTCTTTAGGTTCAGTGAAGTTGCTCTTCTCAACGGAACTGTCAGCTATTCTAGATCAATATTTATCACGGATTCGCTCATTCTGTTGCTTATGATAAAGCAAACTGATACTTTATGATAGAAACTTGCGGTATAGTAGACTTGGGATAATACTGTCATTCAATCCATTCAGAGGCAATGGTTACGATGAGGGCATGTTCAGAGACCCTTGAATCATCACAACCTCCTTTTAAAGATGATTCTCCCCTTCTTTCAGGGCATTTTTTCAACCAAAAAGGCAGATCAGCTTAAGCGCAGAATCGATATGCAAATGCCCTGGATTCCTCTAATAACCTACCCCTCCATCAGGCTGTACCGAGATTGTGAGGATCTGATGGGTAAAAGTACTGAAATTACGTGTACATCGGATAGCCGTACTGGGGAGAACGTCCTTTGCGCGTGTCCGTCGAAAGTAGGTCACCCCACCCACTTAGCGCGCGGCGCATCACACTGAGGTCTCGAGATGACATTACAGTACCACCAAGTGTCATTGGAGCAAATGATTTGTATTTGTCTGTGTTATCTTCTTCTTGAACTGACTGCCGTGGACCAAAAGCAAAGCGTATGCCCCAGTGACAATTGCGACGTCTGTCAAATATCGCGG